GACGCACATCGCACACCGGAACCAGGATGCGGAACCCTTACAGAACCCTTTTATCCTTCATGGGTAGCCTTGATAGAACCTCAAAGAAACCATTCCACCCTCACTCTCGGATCCACGCCGGCTCAATTCGTACACCAGGGAAGGTCCAGACCTAGATCGTGCAGTGAAGGTTGAAGGCTGCTGTTCCCCTAAACCCTAGATCCGCTTGCTGGGATGTAGGCTTTTGGGTTAGGGCTTATGGCTTGAAAAGTTCGTGGCTCAAGATTGGGTCAGGGTTTAAGTCTAAGGCCTTAAGAGAAACGGTTGATGATATAAATCCTGCGTTACCCAGAACAAGGAATATACTCTACCATGCTTCCCATAGTCTAGGGTCCTTAAGGTCCTGCAGGATGTGTGTACTATCAACAGTAGGGTTTTGGGTTTTAGAGTCTGGGCTTCCGGTTCAGCCGTGGCTTCGTTCTTGCACTGTAAGAGCCTGCATACATGCTACAGTTAGTCCCTCTCCTTGGTATTCACACGTATTCACAATGCGTTTGTTAATTTCCGAGCTTCTCTTTACTTTTACTGTTCGCCAAATGTGGCCTTCATTTGACGATCTCTGGCAAGTTTCCTGTTGTTGTTACTTCTATTCCACCCTAAACCCTAAGCCCTAAACCCATCCGCTCCAAAACCCATGGCCCCCGAGCCCCCGCGCGGGGAATCCCGGCATGGCGCCAGAGGACTCATCGCCGAAAGTCAATGACCAGGTATTGCTGATCGGTGTGGTGGCCTCTAAAGGGTTAGGTCCTTTAAGGGTTCCTTGAAGGGTTCCGTTAAGGGATCTATAGGGTTTAGGGTTTAGGGGTTTAGGGTTTAGGGTTTAGGGACTTAGGGTTTAGGAACTTAGGACTTAGGGTTTAGAGACTTAGGGTTTAGGGACTTAGGGTTTAGGGACTCAGGGTCCATATAACCTAAACCCTAAACCCAAGGCCCCAAACCCAAAGGTATAGGCTGGACTTTCAAAGGCCTTCAAGGTTCTTTCAATCAGGGCTCTTAATTAGGGGGTTCTATGAGCATCTTGGAGGTACTTTTTACGGGTTAGGGCTTAGGGTTTAGGGCTTAGGGTTTAGGCTTTAGGCAAAGGATCCACAAGGTTTTGTGTTGCTTATTTGACGCCTGCGGTTCGGGTTTACAGGTCTGTACGAGGCTTATACAGGACCTAATGTACTTGAGTTTAGGAGAGTCGTACTAAAGGCTAGTACATGGTTCCTTTGCACCGGCTAATATTTCGGGTTTAGGGTTTAGGGTTTAGCGTTTAGGGTTTAGGGTTTAGGGTTGCCCAAAAAAAGCAACTAGCAGGGTTCAGGTAAAGAATCCTACGAAGGACCCAGGATTCCTTAATCAGGTTCCTAACTCTAAAACCCAAACCCGAAATACCCTAGACTTCTGGGTATAGGGTATCCAGGGCTTAGGAGTCGTCGTGTTGGAAAGGGGCTGAAACTATGTCGCCTTGGGATTTTGGGGTTTTACAAGGGTCCGAAAACGGTGCCTCTATAGGATCCTTTAGCGTTCCTTTCCGCGTTTAGGGTTTTGGGTTTAGGGTTTTGGGGCTCCTTTAAAGTGTTGAGGGCTTTAGGGCCCCTTTAGGGAAGGCTACGGATTAAGGCTTAGGGGTTTAGGCTTTCGGGCTTGGGAGCTTCTGCTAGGGCTTCTATAAGGCTTCTCTGAGGTGTATGGACCGTCAAAAAGGCTCCAAAAAAAGTAACTACCCACCTGAACATGCCCTAGAGACTACAGATGTGCAAGCCCCACACGCCTAAATCCTCGGATCCGCACCCTCAGCTCAGAAACACAAACACCCTAAACCCTAAACCCCTAAACCCCTAAACCCTAAATCCTAAACCCTAAACTCGGATCCGCACCCTCAGCTCAGAAACCCAAACACCCAAACATCCCAGATCCTGGAACTCGATGCCCAAGGCCCAAACTCAAACGCCAAAATCCAAAAACCAAGCATCCTAAACCTACGGTTGATGATATAAATCCTGCATCAGCCATAAGAAGGAATATACCATAATTCCCATGGTTTCGGATCCTTAAGGTGATGCCAGGATGTATACAATCAACAGTAGTCCTACCCAAAACCCCAAACCCTAAACCGAACACCCCGAACCCCTAGACCTCAAACTCAAATCCGGAATGCACTAAACCCAACACCCAAAACCTAATACGCCATAGCCCGAAACCGTTCAGGATTCGGGTTTCCGGATTTAGGGTTCAGGGTTTAGGGCCTCAAAACCCAAAAGCCCCAAACCCTGATCCACTGAAACACTTGCCTCGTTTAGCTGTCAGACAAAAAACAAGAGCATCTAGGCATGATATCACACTGCTTAACTGTAGAAATGTGCGAAAATACGCCCCTGAAGCTCTAAACCCAGGTCTCATTCTGCAGGCCCCTACCTTAATTCAGGTGTAGGGCTCAAGGTCCAATTTCATGGACCTCCAACCAGAAATTCTTTTCCCTAACCTCGAAGTACACTTCGGGTAGCAACGGTTGTAGTAATGGGTGACAGTTTGGGAAAACCGATGCCCTAATCGGAGATGTGTCACCTCAAATGGGGCGATATCCTTTTTACGAGCTACGAGCTCACTCGAGCCGGAAGCACTTGCGAAGCCCGACTCCTGCAAACACTCGCAAAACACCTTCAAAAATGTTGCCGGAGCTTTGAGTACCCGACCGGATTCTGCTTGATTTCAATGCGGAAGAGGTACACCCTGCGAGTCGGAACCCACGTGCATGTAGGGTTTAGGGTTTAGGGTTTAGGGGTTTAGGGTTTAGGGTTTAGGGTTTATGCCCCAACCCCTAAGCCCTAAACCCTAAACCTTTGCGTATGTACATATACAACATTTATATCTAAATCTAGACCTACCTCCCGATCTATCTACATCTACAGGTACATTTTGTACCTGTACTATATCACTCTAGACCTGTCTACACGACCATCATGTACATATGTGCTTGTTTGTACTTACTTTGACCAGACCTGCCGTTTATTTGACTTCTAGGCTTTCGGGTTCAGATGTCGCTCTACTTTTCCGCAACGCAAGGAGTTGCAAGGACTTCCCTAAACCCTAAACCCCCAAACCCTAAACCCTAAACCCCTAAACCCTAAACCCTAAACCCTAAACCCTAAACCCTAAACCCCCTAAATCCTAAACCGCCTAAGCCCCCTACCACCCTGCAGCGTAGCATTACGCCTTTGTCACGGAAGAGCCGCAGCAGGGGTTAGCAGTCAGGATCTGGGAATCTGAGACTTATAAGGGATTCAATTTTTACGTTTCCAAAATAAAGAAACCATACTATTTACTATAGATCCATATATTATGGTAACTTCAATTAAGTTCCTTAACAAGTTGAGTGTTTAAGTTTGGCTTTAGGGTCTAGGGGTTAGGCTTTGGGGGTTTAGAGTTTGTTGCTTTGTTGGACAGGGCCGGTTTGGGTCCAGGGGCCTGTTGACAGCACCACCTTGTCTAGAGCTAAGCATGCACGATTGCCCCAAGAATCCCAAGAACAAACATGGAAGCGGTTGAAACGGTGCTTGTTCGACTACTCAGCATATTCAGCATTTACGAAGAAAAACAATTCCAATGCACACATGTGAACTATGCGTCTCTCCATCTCACTCTCTGCCTCTCAGTCTCTCTCCACCTCGCTGTCTATGCGAACACTGACCAGCAAATCAAGAAGATCAGCAATGCTAACAAGTACCAACGGTCAGGTAAACTACAAAGACCCCAGACTCAAACATACTTTCCGGGATGGAGCAGAACTTAAAGCCGAGTTGCTCGAAACCTAAACCCTAATCTCATTCACCGGGCGTGCTCACTCCGACATTGGGGGCAGCCAAAGGCCTGTGAGCAGGCTAGCTAGAGTTGTGGCCGTAGACTGCTTCTCAACCTACTTGCATGCAACTTACTACGTCCCATGGACCTTAAACTGGAGCCTAAACCGAGCTATGTTCTAGCCATATGTTTAAGCTGTAAGGCCTTGACACACAGTATATGAGCACTCTTCAGCAAGCCTTTGCTCCCTCAGCCCACGCCGGACTGTCAGCAAAGCCTGGAGAGGGTGGGTAGGGGGTGTAGGGTTTAGGGTTTAGGGTTTGGGGGCTTTAGGGCTTAGGGTTTAGGGTTTTTAAGTTTAGGGTTTAGGGTTTGGGGCTTAGGGCTTTAGGGTTTAGGGTTTACCCTGAAAGAAGGTTGCTTGGGGTCTTGCTGCACATCTACAAGCCTTCACAAGGTTTCTGAGGGTTGCTGAGAGGGCTCTTTGCTGCCTCGTTGACTCTGAGTGCTCCCGTGGAATTCAAGGAAACTACAGGTGGTGAGTTTAGGGTATATAGGGCTTCTATAAGGCTTCTATAAGGTGTATATAGACCTTCTATAAGGCTCCTATAACGGTACCTACCCACCTGAAAATGTCCTAGATCGAATCTGCCAAGAAGAATCCCAGATCGTAAGTCCGGCTGGGTTTAGGGTTTATAGGGCTTATAGGGCTTATAGGGTTTAGGGTTTACGGTTTAGGGTTTAGGGTTTAGGGTTTGATGATATGTGAGGGTACTTAAGATCCCTTATTGGGGTTTAGGGTTTAGGTCTTAGGGTTCTATAATGGTGCTACGGTTGATGATATAAATCCTGCATGACCCATCATAAGGAATATACCATACTTCTCGTAGCTTAGGGTCCTTGAGGTCATGCAGGATTCGTATTGCTCATCAACCGTTAGAAAGCCCTGAAAGAATCCGACAAGAAACCTGGACAGCATCCTCAGGCTTTAGCCGGAACCACACTCCTTCCAAGCCATGTGAGCGGGTATGAAACATGATGCACCCTAAACCCTAAACCCTAAAACCCTAAACCTAAAACCCTAAACCCTACACCCTAAACGATGAACCCTAAACCCAAAACCTAAACCCATGCCCGGAGGCCAAAATCTGCATCCCACAAAGCAAGACCTGAGCAGCCTGGTGTTCGTCCCCTCGGCATGAAAGGATCGTCGCCGAGTTTGGCCACGGATAGACAGGCCTTGTCCGCCAAACAACGGTAAGCATCGAAAGATCACAAAACGTCAGCCAAGAGAGGCGGCAAGAATCATGATGATTGTTAACATAAGCAGCATCAATGACGACATAGAATAACCCCGCCACAACAATGGCAAGGTTCGACCATCGTGACTGTCATTGCCATTTTTGAAGCCATCGTATGCTCCTACATCGCCATCACCACCATGGCATCCACGGTTATCAACTTCAAGCCCAGCTTCAATATCGTCGTGATATGCCATAGTTACCATCGCTGTCATCGCCAAGTTGATTACCGTCATCACCGCACACTCCCGTATCATCGCTAACATTCCCACGCCGTCACCATGCACATCGTTGTCCTCGCCCCCGCCGCCACCACCACCACCACCACCACCACCACCCCCGCCGCCACCACCACCACCACCACCACCATCGCCATCGTCCTCTAACGCATAATCATAACAATCACCGGACACTTCGTTCGAGCAGGCACTAACATTGCGCACATATGAAGGCAATAGTTGCGAGACATGTGCACAGGAGCATAAAAGAACGCAAAAAGCATATTAATATGTTGCAGCCCGGCTCTTGGTGGCTCACGGGACTGGCAAAGCAGGTTGCGTGCGGTGTTACAGCTAGTGTGCACCAACTTTGGGTTGTGGGGGCCCAACTGTTTCCTGCCATCCCATCTTTCTATCCCCGGACCCTCTGCGTCAATCAGGGCTTCAGGATGCAGCCTTCTGCATTCGGGGATCTCAGGTTCCTAAACCCTACACCCTAAACCCTAAACCCCAAGCCCTAAACCCCAAACCCCAAACCCCAATCCCTAAACCCTAAACCATAAAAACTCCAAACCCTAAACCCTAAACCCAAGGAGGGGCCTCTTGCGGACGCTTATCAAGGCTTGGGAGTTTTTCAGGAGGTTCTCTGTTGAGGGCTTCGACACAACACCAACTGCTAAGCTGCTAAACCCCTCGCTTCAAGGAAGCCTGAGAGGAGCCCTTAAAAAAGCCCCAAAACATATTAATATACTTCTCCCTATAAATGTATAATGGAAATCTAGGTATGATTTACAACTAGAATACTAGGTCTAAATGATAACGTATTTTACAATGGAATATTTATTAACTTATCATATAAAGGAACCCTCGCAGGATCCCTTTAAGGAACCTTTAAAGGAGCCCCCAAACCTTCAGCGGACCTCGGGGTGTTGGATGTTAGATCTGACGTCTGAGTTTGGGGCACCCTAAACCCTAGACTCCGACCTATCTACAGTCTCCATTGTAGTCCCTTTTGGGGTTACCTCACAAAATCCTTATTAAAATCTACTTGGGTACACCAACAAGGAATTACAATGGACACGACAGGTAACCCCTAAGCCTCCCCTAAACCCGAAACCCCAAACCCTAAGGGCCCGATTGGAACTCGAAATCGAGAGAACTGTTAGCGGCCGTCTCAGCAGGCAAGGATTCTACATTGCAGCGGATTGCAGGCTCCTGTTTCGGAACTTACAATCCTAGCAACCCTAGAGTCCCAAAGCTTTATTTCCCCAACTATCCTCTCTTCGGCCGTAACCACGGTTTTTCTGTTGAAAGGTACCGTCGGGGCTTCTCGTCCCTCCTTCAGCCCTTCTTCAGCGCCTATAAGTCCTCGAAAAGCCTGTGTTGAGCCACCAGTGATCTTTGCGTCAAACCCCAAACCCTAAACCGCAAAC